AGGTGGCTCAGTGGTAGAGCGCTTGCCTTGCATGCATGAGGCCCTGGATTTGATTCCCTAGCACCACGTAAGCAAAAAGAAAAAAGCCGGAAATGGCGCTGTGGCTCAAGTGGTAGAGCAGAGCGCTAGCCTTGAGCTGAAATGCTGAGGGACAGCACCCAGGCCACAGGACCAGACCAAAAAAACCCAACCAGGTTATTTGAAATAGTCATAGTTGGAATATTGCCTTCTGGACCTGGAGTTGTGCTTCAGCAGCAAGTAACTATGTTTGTAAGGCATCCATGAGTATTTATGGCAGTTAGGTTGTTGTAAGGGCAGTCCAGCTAACTGCCAAAGAGAGGCTGCTTGGATGCCAGTCCTCCAAGCCAGGTATCAGGGAAGGGCTTAATAACTATTAATTATGGAATCAAATTGCCCCAGCCATTGATATCTTAGTTAAAGGAAGAACAAAGATTAAAAAGGATATTTACAATCAAGGCCCAGGCCCATTATTAATGCTAATAGTGCTTTTTTTTTTTTTTAAGTCAGTCATGGGGCTTGAACTTTGGGCCTGGGCACTGTCCCTGAGCTCTTCAGCTCAAGGCTAGCACTCTACCACTTGAGCCACAGCGCCACTTCCAGTTTTCTGGTGGTTTATTGGAGATATGAGTCTCACGGACTTTCCTACCCGGTCTGGCTTTGAACTGCAATCCTCAGATCTCAGCCTCCCAAGTAGCTAGGATTACAGGTGTGAGCTACTGGCAGCGCCCAGCACTAACAGTGCTTTAAGAGTACTTAACTTCTGGCCAAATACTCCTGGGAGAGTTGGGTTGTCTTATTTATTTTCCACTTTTAACCCAAACTGATGTTCAGGTTATAAACCTGGTGATCACACACAGTGATCATCTGGGTGTGTCCTTCCATCCTTCCTAGAAGTGAGTTACACTGTGGAGAGGGGCACATGTATGTGGGGTCTCACCTGTAATTGGACTGCTAATGGTCCCAGCCAAATGAAGCCAAGTAGGACTTCATTTCCTCCTCCCTTTGGGTCACCTTTCTGCAGCACAGCCACTGAGCCTCCTCTTCTCTGTTTAAAATGTAAAGACGGGGGGGGGGGGGGGGTTGTGGATGGGAAGGTGGCTCAGGGGTAGAGCACTGCCTTGCATGCATGAGGCCCTGAGTTCGATTCCTCAGCACCACATAAGTAGGGGGGGAAAAAAGCCGGAAGTGGCGCTGTGGCTCAAGTGGTAGAGCGCTAGCCTTGAGCTGAAGAGCTGAGGGACAGCATCCAGGCCCAGAGTTCAGGCCCATGACTAAAGACAGAAGAAATGGCAGCCTGATCTGGTATTCTGTCATTAAAAATGAGCAATGAGATGAGTAAGCAAGGGAGATGTTTCTGTAGTTGTGTACCTATATCCTCAAAAGACTGAAAAAGTGTCCTTAGCCAGCTGCTGGGGTCTCACACCTGTAATCCCAGCTACTCAGGAGGCTGAGATCTGAGGTCACAGTTCAAAGCCAGCTAGACAGAAAAGTCTTTGAGACTCTTATCTCCAATTAACTACCAAAAAGCTATAAGTGAAGGAGCAATTCAAGTCAGAGAGCACCAGCCTTGAGGAAAAAAAAAAAATCAAGTGTGAGGGTGAAGCCCTGAGTTCAAGCCCCAGTGCCAGTGTGCATGCGTGCATGCATGCGCATGTGCACACACACAGACACACACAGACACAGCTTATGTGTGTTCATATCCCTGGTGTCATAACAAACACTAATTCTCCCTATGAGGTTTATCATCAAGTAGCTTACACAGAGAGAACCCCAAGGAACTCAAGAAGCAAAAGTCACTAGATTCATGAGATCCCCAGTGCACCCCACAAGGGACTGTGGGTGACACAAATCAAGGACACCTCTCTTCAGTAATAGCTCTGCCTTCTTTTGCAACATGAAGTGAAAGTTGAGAGATCTCAGTTGCTGAGTTACCTTTCGAGAGCTCATGTTTACTTGGGCAGCCTGCCAGTCACTAAACACCATATCTCTTTGTAATTGTAAACTATTTTGTCTTATGATTTTTTTTTTCAACAATTCTACCTTGAGTTCTTTCAAAACTCTTGGGTAGAAATCACCTGACTATGTAACTCAACACCACATCCTATAGTCATTGGTGCTTGTGGGATCAGTAATCTCATTACTTAGAATCCATTTTTTTTTTTTTTTGCCAGTCATGGGGCCTGGGTGCTGTCCCTCAGTTCTTCAGCTCAAGACTAGTGCTCTACCACTTGAGCCACAGTGCTACCTCCAGCTTTTTCTGCTTATGTTGTGCTGAGAATCGAACCCAGGGTCATGTATGCAAGGCAAGCACTCTAATAATGAGCCACCTTCCCAGTTCCATTAGAATCCATCTTTAAGAAATAGAAATGCAAGCCGGGCGCTGGTGGCTCACGCTTGTAATCCTAGCTACTCAGGAGGCTGAGATCTGAGGATCGCGGTTCAAAGCCAGCCTGGGCAAGAGAGACTGTGAGACTCCTATCTCCAATAAACCACCAGAAAACCGGAAGTGGTGCTGTAGCTCAAGTGGTAGAGAGCTTGCCTTGAGCTGAAGAGCTGAGGGACAGCGCCCAGGCCCAGAGTTCAAGCCCCACGACCGACAAAAAAAAAAAAGAAAGAAATAGAAATGCCAGGCTGAGAATGTGACTTAGTGGTTCAATTCATGCCTGTAATCCTAGCTACTCAGGAGGCCAAGATCTGAGGATCATAGTTCAAAGCCAGCCCGGGTAGGAAAGTCTGTGAGACTCATATCTCCAATAAACCACTAGAAAACCAGAAGTGGCACTGTGGCTCAAATGGTAGAGCACTAGCTTTTTTTTTTTTAATTTTAATTTTTAGTTTTTGTGAACACACTGTACAGAGGGGTTACAATTACATGGGCAAGATAATGAATACATTTCTTATCAAGCATTGCAGCCTCCTCCTTTGTTTACCCTTAGAGCACTAGCTTTGAGCTGAAGAGCACAGGGACAGTACCCAAGCCCAGAGTTCAACCCCATGACTGACAAAATAAATAAATAATAAAAAAAAGTTAATGGAAAGCACCCAGGTACACACACATGCACACATGCGCGCATGCACGCGTGCACATATACACACACACACACACACACATATGTGCACACACACATAGAGCCCAGCCACTTACAAACTGTAGGGTTTCATAGGGGAGGACAAGTGGGTTACCGCAAGGGCCTAAAGGAGGGGGCTGACTGCCCAGGTGATGGAAAGGGGGAAGGGGAAAAGGATTCTGCTCTAGGGGAGGGACTGCTGGGGAGGGTGGGGTATCTAAAGATGTATCTTGTGGTTGATTGGGGCACAGGATGTTATTTGTGGTTGGGCTAGGTGTTAGTCTGACTAAGTGACAGCCTAAGGGGGTGATGAGGTGAGGATTTGTGTGTATGTGCTTTGAGCTGATGCCAAGCAAAGTTCTGTGGCTAAGCAAACAATGGAGGACAACAGGAAGAGAAGTAGCTACAACACAGTCAACTTCCTGGGTCTTAAACAATGGGCATATAATATGTTATATATAGTTATATTTCTGTACATTATAATGTGAATATAATATATATTAAGCAATGTTACATATACACATATATGTATGAAAACATACAGGAAAAGGATAAATTAAAGCCATTGTGTTACAATGGAAAGATAACAGTGATTATTTTTCTCCATTTTGCAAATTTCCTTTAATGATACTGTAATTGCTTTACAGTTTTAGAGAGTTTTTTGTTCTTTTTAAAAAATAAAGTTATCTCTGTAAACCTGATGCTAATGAAACATTTCCATAATCTTAGCTATTCAGGAGTCTGAGATCTGAGGATCGCAGTTTGAAGCCAACCTGTGTAGGAAAGTCTGGTAAGGTTCTTTTCTCCAAAAACCTACAAGTGGAGCTGTGGCTGGAATGGTAGAGCACTAACTTCTAGCAGCAAAAACTAAGGGACAGCTCCAGGCCCTGAGTTCAAACCCCAAGATGACACAAGCACATACACACACACACACACACACACACACACACACACACGTTCTGTCTCCACATACTAGAAGTCATTCAGCCAAGATACTCCTCCACCAGCCTCTTTTGCAATGTACAAATAGTCACAACCTTATTCAAGGTTGTAGCCTTATTCCTGCTTTACCCCTTAAGGTAAAAGTGATCATTGTTGTTGGTCGGGAAAGCACCTTGAAGGCAAAAGCATCTGTGATTATTCTGAAAACTCCTCTTGATCTTCCATAATAGCAATATTCCAGATGAGCAAGGCTCAAAATCTTATAAACAAGCCTGTTTGTGAAAGAATGTCCTTTGTCCAAGGGCCAGGTATTGGAATACCACCCACTCAGTTGGCATAGCTCACTAGGTCAGCTTTGTGAAACCAGACACCCTGACTTCACTGTGATCTTCCTCTGTCTACACCCTGGCTCCAGCTCCTTGGCCATAGACATACAATTACTAAAGATTATTATTGCTTGATAATAACTGTAATTATGACAAAGACTGCCCAAAACTAGGAGGGAAGAGAAGAAATCTAATTTCCTATGAATATGTTTGCATCAGGAAAAAAGCCTGAACACACACACACACACACACAGAAGAAATCTAATTGTCTTATGAATACGTTTGCATCAGGAAAAAAGTCTGAATACACACACACACACACACACACACACACACACACACACACACACACCCTCTTGTCTGGCCAGGAAAAAAGCCTGAATACACACACACACACACACACACACACACTCTCTCTCTCTCTCTCTCTCTCTTTCTCTCTCTTGTCTGGCCCCTCACTAACTGGGAACATACAAGCCTAACACAGATCATCAAGCTGGAGACTTGACAGAAGGGGGCTCAGGAACCGAGATGCAAAGTCCTCCTGCGTTCCTAGAGAGGACCCGGAAGCACAGCGCGGGTCCCGGAAGACGGCGAGCTGACGTACTTCCGGCCTTTGTGACTCATTGTGTCTGTATCGAGGCGTCCGGAGGGCCTAGGTCCCTGTGTGGTGCCCGGTGCCCGGCCTGAGCCCCCGCACTCAGCTCCCCATTCTCGCCCGGCGCCCTCTGGCCGCTCTCGGGGCACACGGTGAGATGTGGGCCGGCCTCTGGGGAGGGCGGGCGGACCGCAGGGGTGTGTGCGTGAGGGCGGGCCCCGCAGCCGCGGCCCGGGGGACCTCTGCGGGCGACCCCGGCTGAGTGCCAAGGGAGCCCGGCTCCCCTGCCGGCCCGGCCCGCCGCGAGCAGCGAGGTCGCCCAGGAAGACGCCCCGGACCCGGCGGGGAGGAGCGAGGGGGCCCGGGGTGCTCCGAGCCCCGTGGAGAAGTCGGGGTGCGGGTCCCTTCCAGACCCAGAGCCCGCGATGTCGTCATCGGGCCCCAGGCAGGCCCGTGATGTCATCGTCGTCGTTTGACGTTTGTGAGAACGGGGTCCCTGCGGACTGACTGACCCCTGTCTTCGATTTTTATTTTTATTTTTATTTTTTGCTGTCCCTTTGTCGCCATTTGCTTTTGATCCTGGTGAGGTTTGGGGGATTTTGTGTTTGTTTTTCTTTCTCGTGTTTTGTTTTGGTTGTAAATGGGCTTACTTTTTTTTTTTCTGGATCCTTGAGGAACTTGAGATGGAAAATGCGTCTTGATTTTGGGGTGCCTACATTTTCCCTCCACTCCTCACTAAGCGGTGATTTAAAATAATTTTGAAGCTAGGTCATGGGTGGATTGAGATCCACTATAGGGATTATAGACACCCACTTTTCTTTTAGTTTCGTGAAAGGTTTTGAAAGCCATTTTTTTCTGTCTTTTTTAATCTCTTTTAAATGAGCTGTCTAGGCAAGTACATGGATTTTTCTCTGTCCACTATGCTTGGAGTGGAGTGAGGAGTAAAGGGAATTTGTGAAACTTGCACTGGACTGTGAAACTTGCACTGGACCAGTAGGAGACTTAGTGACCTTGAATAAGACATATTTACCAACTCTCAGTTTCAATTATATATATATGTATATATATAAGCTATTAAAAAACCTCTCCCAATTTTGAAATGCTTGGATATGGTCAATGCAATTGGGAGGAAGCAAACAAATCTACAGTTTGGCCTAACACTCCCCCTTCCCTCCCTGTCCTTTCCTGCTATGCTTTCAGTACACAAAAAGACACTTGTCATTACAGAGAGTGGCTGTTCCATGGCCCAGGACCTAAGAAAGCATTTATTGTACCCGCTAGTGTTACGTGGATTGGTGGTGTTCAATAAATACTTGTTGAATTGTGGAGAATTCATTTTAACCACATCATGAAAGCCCTATTAACTGTATACATGCCCAAATGTAGAGAGATAGCTTTATAATTTATTACATAGTGAACCATAATGAAGATTTGCTGTGGGATGTTTCTCCGTTCTGAATTACAAGGCAGGATTCTTGTTTATTATTTCAGGCAGTTTTCACCCATCTTAAAATAGAAACAGGGAAGCCTCCCTCTTTAGGAGAGCTAAGTAGCTAAAGTTACCTTTGTTTGTGTGTGTGCCAGTCCGGGGGCTTGAAATCAGGGCCTGGGTACTCAGGCCTGAGCCTTTTGTTCAAGCACTCTACCACTTGAGTTCCACTTCTGGCTTTTTGGTGCTTAATTGGAGATAAGAGTCTCATAGGCTTTCCTGTCTGGGCTGTCACTGAACCTTCATCTTCAGATCTCTCAGCCTTCTGAGTAGCTAGAGTTAAGGCTAAAACTTTTAGTATGTTTTATATTGCATCTAATTACAAAGAGTCTAATATACTGAATTTTTCCATTCTGTGGTAATGTCAGTATTCTCTGGGTAACTAGCTGTGTGTGTGTGTGTGTGTGTGTGTGTGTGTGTGTGTGTGTGTGTGTGTGTGTGTGTGTGTGTTTCTAAGGGTAGAACTCAGAGCCTTCCTTCCCTTTGCTAGATGGACTCTACCACTTGAGTCACATCTCCAGTACTTTTTGCTGTCGGGTGTTTGTTTTTGTGAGCCAGTACTCTAACTCTGGGCCTCTCCTTCTCCTCCATAGCTATTGACTCAAAGCTGGTGCACTACCATCTCCAACTGTTTGCTGGTTAATTGGAGTTAAGTTTCCTGGATTTGTTTGTGGAGGCTGGCTTCCAACTTGGTCCTCAGATCTCAGCCCCTGGGTAGCTAGCTAGGTGTGAGCCTACCAGCACCCAACTCTTCTGCTTTAATTATTTTCAGTAGGGTCTCAAATTTTTTGCCCCAACTTTGCTGCACTGCAGTTTCACTTTTCCTGCCCAGGCTGGTTTGAACCATGATTCTCAGTAGGATTCTGAGTAGTAGGATTGCAGGCATGGGCCACTGGCGCCTGGTTTGGCTGTCTTTCAAAGGTAGCTTTTTTTTTTTTTTGGTCGGTTGTGGGGCTTGAACTCTGGGCTTGGGCGCTGTCCCTGCACTCTTCAGCTCAAGGCGAGTGCTTTACTGCTTGAGCCACAGCGCCACTTCCAGTTTTCTAGTGGTTTATTGGAGATAAAAGTCTCACAGAGGGCTGGGAAGGTGGCTCGGTGGTAGAGCACTTGCCTTGCATGCTCGAGGCCCTGGGTTCGATTCCGCAGCACCACATAAGAAAAAAGCCGGAAGTGGCGCTGTGGCTCAAGTGGTAGAGTGCTAGCCTTGAGCTGAAGAGCTGAGGGACAGCGCCCAGGCCCAGAGTTCAGGCCCCACGACCGGACCCCCCAAAAAAAAAAAAAAAAGTCTCACGGAGTTTCTTGCCCCAGCAGGCTTTGAACTGCAATCCTCAGATCTCAGCCTCCCGAGTAGCTAGGATTACAGGTGTGAGCCACCCGTGCCTGGCTTTTTTTTTTTTTTAATATTTTAAAACATATCCCTGAGGCTGGTATCAGTGGCTCATGCCTATAATCCTAGCTACTCTGGAGGCTTAGATCTGAGATTAGTGGTTCAAAACCAGCCCAGACTGGAAAGTCTGTAAGACTCTTTTTTTTTTTTTTGTCGGTCGTGGGGCTTGAACTCTGGGCCTGGGCGCTGTCCCTCAGCTCTTCAGCTCAAGGCGAGCGCTCTACCACTTGAGCTACAGCGCCACTTCCGGTTTTCTGGTGGTTTATTGGAGATAGGAGTCTCACGGTCTCTCCTGCCCGGGCTGGCTTTGAACCTCGATCCTCAGATCTCAGCCTCCTGAGTAGCTAGGATTACAGGCGTGAGCCACCAGCGCCCGGCTGTAAGACTCTTTATCTCTAATTAAACACCAAAATGCTGGAAGTGGAACTGTGGCTCAAGTGGTAGAACACTAGAATTGAATGAAAAAGCTCAGGATAGCACGTAAGCCCTGAGTTCAAGCCCCAGGACTTGCACAAAAGAAAAGGAGAAAATATCTCTGTTAAAAAGTGGGAGTGTTGGGACAGTTTATTTATTTCAACTTCAGAACTATGCATTGTTTGAGAAAACAGTCTTTGAAATAAACTAAGCTTGTAACCCCAAGGCTTTTTTTCGTTTGGTCCAAAAGTAGTTTAATTTTATCTTTGATTGCTTATCTAAAGTAGTTGGTATGTCAGAATGGCTTTCATCCCAGAAGGATCCCCAAGGTAGTTTCTACTCCACCCCTTCCTCGCCCACTTTTGACTAATGAGGACACTGAATGCCAGAGAAATTAAATAACTGAGAGTGAGTACTTGTGGGAGACTAGAATGCAGTTACTCCAGCCATGCTGTTTTCACTGTCACAGCATTTCTCCAGTTAAGCAGCCTCAACATTGGAAGATACAGTTATATTTCTTTTTTTTCTTTTTTTTGTCGGTTGTGGGACTTGAACTTTGGGCCTGGGTGCTATCCCTGAGCTCTTCAGCTTAAGGAGAGCACTGGACCACTTGAGCCACAGAGCCACTTCCAGTTTTCTGGTGGTTAATTGGAGATAAGAGACTCCTGGAGGGCTGGGAAGGTGGCTCAGTGGTAGAGCGCTTGCCTTGCATGCATGAGGCCCTGGGTTCGATTCCTCAGCACCACATAAGCAAAAAGAAAAAAGCTGGAAGTGGCGCTGTGGCTCAAGTGGTAGAGCACTAGCTTTAAGCTGAAGAGCTAAGGGATAGCGCCGAGGCCCAGAGTTCAGGCCCATGACTGGACCAAAAAAAAAAAAAAAAGAGACTCCTGGACTTTCCTGCCTAGGCTGGCTTTTAACTGCAATCCTCAGATCTCAGCCTCTTGAGTAGCTAGGATTACAGGCATGAGCCACTGGCACTTGGCTTTAGTTATATTTCTTAAGTTATTAAAAAAAATTCAATTATTCTCCAGAGGCTACTAGACACCAGACATACTTTTTTCTTTTTTTGGCCAGTCCTTGGGCATGAACTCAGGGCCTGAGCACTGTCCCTGCGCTCTTTTGCTCAAGGCTAGTGGTCTGTCACTTGAGCCACAGTTTTATTACTGGCTTTTTTGGGTGGTTAGTTGAAGATAAATGTCTCACTAACTTCTGTTCAGGCTGGTTTGGAACTGCAGCCTCAGATCTCAACTTCTTAAGTAGATAGGATGACAGGCATGAGCCACCAGTGCCTGGCTGCGAGACATTTTTAAATGCTTTGTATATATTAAAGTAATTCCACAACTTCATGGGGTAGATACCCATTGCACAGATGAGGAAAATGATGTATACAAAAAGTTATTTGCCCCAAGCCATCAATAGTAAGTGGTAGAAACTTCCAAGTAGCCTATAGAACAAATTTGAGGGCGAAAGTGAATGCAGAATGAATGAACAAAATAACATTGTAAATGCAACCAGTAATTTTTTGTTTTTGTTTTTTTGGGGGCGGTCCAGTCCTGGGGCCTGAACTCTGGGCCTGGGCGCTGTCCCTCAGCTCTTCAGCTCAAGGCTAGCGCTCTACCACTTGAGCCACAGCGCCACTTCCGGCTTTTTTTCTTTTTACTTATGTGGTGCTGGGAAATTGAAACGAGGGCCTCAGGCATGCAAGGCAAGCGCTCTACCACTGAGCCACCTTCCCAGCCCAACAACCAGTAATTTTTTAAAGTAATATTTGCCAGGAATATTGCTGAGTTTGTCTACAAAGTAGAAAGACATGTATCATTACCTGAGCATCTAGTCCCAGCCTAGCAAATGCAAGGCCCTGA